TAACATTTTTTCAATACGTGGAGAAAATAAATAAAAATATTTTTTTCATAAAGAAAAGTCAAATATAACGTTATAAAGTGACATTCAAAGATTAAAAAATTCTGTCCAGGCGAGAATTAATCGTCTATGAACACGTCCAACGATAAACGTTTCCGATACGAGTTGAGATTAAGACAAATGTGGTAAAATTCTTTGCTTAATATGAAGCATTCATATAGTTCCCAGGTCTTTTATAAATGTTTTCCAGTGAATTCTTCAGAAATATTTCCGTAACAACAATAACGAATATTCCAATTCTGGTTTTTACACAAGTCAATGTAAAAGTTGTTGATGTTGTTGGAAGACTTGGTTTCATAATTTTTTTTTTATTTAGACGCTTGTCGGTATCACACGTGAACCATTTAGACTACTTTCCCTGTCAATCACAATCTTTTATCCTAAATTTCCGTTAACCGCGCGCTTTTCGATGCAGTATATAGACATAGGTCTATAAAATATCCCTAAATCATGCCCATATCAGCGTGTAAGACAATGGCAGACTCGAATCCCCAAACTCTCCGCCAATTCTGCGTTTGTCATTGTCGTGGGTCAGAGCTATTGCGATTAGGTATGTAAACTCTCTGTCAATCGTGCATTTGTCGTTGTTGTGTGTGTAACAGCACCAGTATCTGATCCATTTTTCTGTCTAGATCCCGCATTTGAGTCTCCATACTCGATAGCTTGGAGAAGACGGTTACTCGTTCTTTATCCCTGTTCAATATATGTAGTGGCTTTCCTAAAGTTGTATCCAGTCTAAAAGTAAGATAAGTGCTTCCATCATAAACAACATATTGGCTGACATTTTTGTTTCTGTGAAATATCAGAGTCTCTGTTTTTCATATTAAATTAACGTTCAAAAGCAATTTCAATCGATTTCTCTTTTTAGTTCTTTGTAGATTTCTTTAGATACACTGCACAAGTTAAATTCGAATATGGTTGATGATAGATCCATCGGTGTCTTGTTTAACTCTTTACAACTTACTGAACAGTGACGCAACACAAACTTAATGTTTACGTCAAAGGAATATGACGTTTTAGTTAACCCATAAGCACTTCATATCGCGGTACAAATTTTTTTAAAAGTTAAGCATAAATAATAATGATGTCATATTTTGATAACTTTCTTTTTTCATGACATTTTAGCAAGAATAAAATAGAAAAGAATTGGTATTAAATTGACTATTAAATTTACGTTTGAAAAGTGCGTGAAAGTGCGTGATTAAGGGGAACCGGTATATGCGTGTTTTAGCATTAGAAATGGGAAATAGTATCTGCGTATAAATGTTTGACTGTGGGTAAGAAGGTTAACTTATTCATACATAAGCCCTATATTTAGACAAATGATGAATCACTTTCCTATTTGCTATAACGTTTAGGTATACAGTGTACATGTACAATCGAATACATTTCATATGGTGGCATATTTCTGCCCCCTACATGCAAGATAAATTATGTTTACAAACAATTCATCATTGAGTCAAATGTTGACTGACGTTTTTCATGCTAATTGTTGGTCCATTATTTGTGCGCTGAATTGACGACGGATTTTTCGTTATTTCCTGATCACGACGAGAAGCACACGGCGAATGTGACCGGTGTTACAACGCACTTTGAAAACAGTTTTCAAAGTGCGTTAAATTTGGGACCAAGCTAACGCACTTTTAAAAAAAATAAATTTCTTTCCAAAGAGCGTTAATATCACCCATATTAACGCACTTTGAAAAAAATGTAAAGCTTGATGAAAGTTCTTACAAATAATCGGTATGATTAATAATTGACCCTGGTTGGTTTTTAATGATGAGGTCACTTCAGGACATGAGATATTGAATATTTAAGTATTTTAGGTTTTAATAAATGTTATAAAAGGGAAATGGGTTTTTAAAAACAAGAGGCCCATGGGCCACATCGCTCACCTGAGAAGCTTTGACCATTCTGTTCTTTACCAGATTTCCCCCTTGTATTACATAATGCATCCCCACCCTACCCCACTGATCATAATTTAGACATTTTGAAATCTACACTACCCCATGATCCTTCCATGGGCACATATGTTTCAGCTTTTCTGGCCCAGTGGTTCTTGAGAAGAAGATTTTCAAAGATTTTTCCTATATATTTCGATATAAAACTTTTATTCCCCATTGTAGCCCCGCCCTTCCCCCGGGGGTCATGATTCTTACAATTTAGAATCTACACTATACCAGGATGCTTCCACATAAGTTTCAGCTTTTCTGGCCCAGTGGTTCTTGAGAAGGAGATTTTTTAATGACCCCACCCTATTTTTGTCTTTTCTTGATTATATCCCCTTGTGAGGGGAGTTGGCCCTTTATTTTAACAATTTAAATTTCCCTTCACATAAGGATGCTTTGTACCGAGTTTGGTCAAAATTGGCCCAGTGGCTCTTGAGAAGAAGTAGAAAATGTGAAAAGTTTACAGACGGACAGACAGACGGACGGAAGGACGGACGACGGACAAATTGTGATCAGAAATGCTCACTTGAGCCTTCGGCTCAGGTGAGCTAAAAAGAATAGAGAGATGATTGATTAATATTATTTCCTTTCTTTTTCAAAATTCTAATCTGTAATAAGAAGATTAAAGGGGGAGGGGGCTAAAAGTAAACGACTTAAAGTATTGAATTTATCTTAAGAAAAAGGGGGCAATTGGAATTTTCAAAACCATGAAAATTTTTTTTCTCTCTCATACGTTGACTGTACGTAAAATTTTCTAGTTTTCATCTGTTTAGGTTAATTCATTCATTGAAAGTTTTCAACGTCATACCAGTTATGTAAATACATATATACCTGTTTTGGGTATAGCATAGGCATCGGAACCGGGCGAAGGGCAAGGGTTGGGGGGTATGCCCCCACTTATTTTGGAAATATATATCATATAAGCATTGAAAATGCGGCTTATCTTTTTGGGGGTTTATTACTCCCCTCCCCCGTTTTATTTGTCACCGACGCTTATGCATTGAATGATAAAGATTTAGACTGAGAGATCTTGAATTCGCCTTCTCCTCCTCTCGACGGAAGTAAATGAATGCGTAATTTTTTGAAAGATAAATAACAAATAAAATCTTGCCATTACTAAAATCTAAATCCAGAATTTTTGTTTTTCATATTTTTCATATATCTCACCACGATATATCGTATCGACATAGGAATGAAAATTACCATTATTTATTGACAATACGTCGTCAATTTATCTTAATGTAGAGTTGAAGGCCACAGCAAGTGTTTTCTTCTTTTCCTGCTTAAGATTTTGCGTAAATTCTGCTTCATATGAATACGAAAGTAGGTCTACGAAAATCGGAGATTAATTGGAGATTAATTGGGAATTCCAATAGATTGTTGGAAGACCTGGTCCCCAAAAACCACATACATAATGTCAATCAGAAACTCAAGCATCTTTCTGATGTCAAATTCAGAGTATTTGTGTGTGAAATCAGAATGTGTTTTAACAGAATAATTTTGCAAATGATCAATGACGAGGTCAATAAGTTTACGAGTTTCGGTTTTATTGAAAAAGCAGCTGTCAATGAAATCAAAAAGCCTGGACTTTAATTTATCGTGGGGAATAGTTGCGTATAATGTTGAAAAGTCGTTACGTTTTTAAGCTGTTGATTTTGGTTATATCTTGTGATTGTCCGAAAGTTCCTTTGGAATTTTTTAGTATCCACATCTGATTTACGCCACTTCTTGAATATATTGTTGTACAGTACTCGACTGTCAATGTCTGAGTGAGGAGTGAAGAAAAAGGCTTGGTTGAACATTTGCTGGAACCCGCAATGCATCTTTGTTTGTAAGGATTCTTATGAAGTTTCGGAATCCAACCATACGGTTTTCAAATTCATTTTGGTTCTTCGGGATAATAAAAATATTCAAAACTGACATATGATTTTGAAGAATTTTTTCTTTAGAAAGGGAAGTTTGAATGTAAGTTGGATTACCACTTATAGAATTAATTCCAAATTCTTTTTTCACTTCTGGATTTTTCTTAAAAAATAAAGAACAAGTTAAGATGTGTTTTCTACATTGAAACCTCCGTAAGGCAGCTGTTTGCGAAGATTTTATTCTTCAAATGTACTTCAGTGCAAGGTTAGGGTTGATTTTTTTATTAAGTCGGTCAAACTGGAAGGTCAATGTCTGAGGACCAAAATGAAGGTACACGGTTGGAAGGCCTTGTTATGAGAAATACACATTTGAAATTAAGTCTTAACAGCAATAGTGTGAAATATAAGACTGACGTTCAAGTTTTACGTCCCTCTCCAGAATAAATTGACTGATATGGAGACGTGCCTTGTTATGAGAAATACACATTTGAAATGAAGTCTTAGCAGCAATAGTGTAAAATATAGGATTAAGGTTAAGTTTGTAAAAGTAAACCCTAACGCCAATGTCAGAAGGTGCAAATTGTTTGCATTCAAAGGGATGTCTTGTCAGAATGAATACCTTGAGAAATATGAAGGCCTTACAGTATTTAATATGACCTAGAAATAAGGACAGATGATACAAACTTTTATTTAAAAAAAAATAAAAACTTGGGTCATGTTTTATTGAATAAAATAAATAAGTTTCACCGCGTAATTTTCAATTTTTATTCAAATCTGCACAAAAATGGAATTTGAAGTGAAAAATATTTGTATAGTATAATAAACATGATATCAGAAGGTAGAATTTGGAACATCACAGAAGGTTTACAATTTCTTTATAATCTAGAAATTTATTTTTTACATCATTTGAAATGAAATTAGGTCCAAAATATATACCAAATCAGACATCCATTTTTTTTGTTCGTATTATCTGTCCTTAAGTAAAAGTAAATGATTTGGGGTATCATAGGTTATTGTTAAGAAGAAAATGTGCCAGGGTAATTAATGGATCATGTTTAATATCTAAAAAGAAAACGAATGTTATTTAAAATTACATAGTCTGTATTCATAATCTATTAGAAAAAATTAAACAATGGAAAATAATAACATTGTTTGAATACGTTGAGAAAATAAATAAAAACATCTTTTCATAAAGAAAATTCAAATATAACGTTATAAAGTGACATTCAATGCTAAAAAATTCTGTCCAGGCGAGAATTAATCGTCTATGAACACGTCCAACAATAAAATGTTTCGGACACGAGTTGAGATTAAGACAAATGTGGTAAAATTCTTTGCTTAATATGAAGCATTCATATAGTTACCAGTTCTTTTATAAATGTTTTCCAGTGAATTCTTCAGAAATATTTCCGTAACAACAATAACGAATATTCCAATTCTGGTTTTTACACAAGTCAATGTAAAAGTTGTTGATGTTGTTGGAAGACTTGGTTTCATAATTTTTTTTTTATTTAGACGCTTGTCGGTATCACACGTGAACCATTTAGACTACTTTCCCTGTCAATCACAATCTTTTATCCTAAATTTCCGTTAACCGCGCGCTTCTCGATGCAGTATATAGACATAGGTCTATAAAATATCCCTAAATCATGCCCATATAAGCGTGTAAGACAATGGTAGACTCGAATCCCCAAACTCTCCGCCAATTCTGCGTTTGTCATTGTCTTGGGTCAGAGCTATTGCGATTAGGTATGTAAACTCTCTGTCAATCGTGCATTTGTCGTTGTTGTGTGTGTAACAGCACCAGTATCTGATCCATTTTTCTGTCTAGATCCCGCATTTGAGTCTCCATACTCGATAGCTTGGAGAAGACGGTTACTCGTTCTTTATCCCTGTTCAATATATGTAGTGGCTTTCCTAAAGTTGTATCCAGTCTAAAAGTAAGATAAGTGCTTCCATCATAAACAACATATTGGCTGACATTTTTGTTTCTGTGAAATATCAGAGTCTCTGTTTTTCATTTTAAATTAACATTCCAAAGGAATTTCAATCGATTTCTCTTTTTAAATTTTTGTAGATTTCTTTAGGTACGCTGTACAAGTTAAATTCGAGCAAGATTGATGAAAGATCCATCGATGTCTTGTTTAACTCTTTACAACTTACTGAACAGTGACGCAACACAAACTTAATGTTCACTTCAAAGGAATATAGCGTTTTAGTTACACCTCAAGCGTAAATAATAATGATGTAATAATTTGACAAGATTATAACTTTTCTGATTTTATGACTTTTTAGCAAGCATATGCGTGTTTAAGTATTAGAAAAAGGAAATGGTATATGTGTATAAACGCTTGACTATGGGTAAGAAGGTTAACTTATTCATGCATAAGCCCTATATTTAGACAAATGATGGTTCATTTTTCTATTTGCCATAACGTTTAGGATACATGCACAATCGAATACATTTAATCTTTAATATTTGAAAAAAAATCATTTTATTGTATCACCACTGTATCTATTTAAGTTTAAATTTTACAAAAATTATAACCACATTCTTACACGAACATGTAGGGTAATATAACACATCTCACCTCCTCTGAAGTTCTTTGATCCGCACCATCATGTTTAAATGTCCCTGAGAATATTGCTCAATAACATCTCTGACGTCATAGGGCTTCCTAGCTAGCTATAAAATAGATAGAATTTGACGTCAGAAGATAGATTTTATTTTATAATCGCATATTAAGACAAGGAAACTTTGCTAAAAATCGGGAATACTAATCAGAACAAAATGATACAAAGATAGGAATAAACATGTTTTTATAAGCAGGAGTATAAATTATGAGTATCAAAAGAAAAAAATATTTGAAATACCCCGACCCTTAGATTATTGTAATTAGTATCTTTACCTGAAAACGTCTCCTGGCAACAAAGAATTTAATTCTTCGAATAACTCTTATCATCGTCTTATGTTCTTCTGTTAATCTGAAAAAAAGTATTTAAAAAATAATTAATCATAAATAGTGGACACTGTGTATATATGCAATGTAACATGCATTTTAGATTTTTTTTCAATTTGGATACTAAATCAAGATAAAGACTTTCATAAGGACATATTTTTGCAGTAAATCAATAATTAACATTCATATTTCTCCTAAACATTTTAAAATCGAAAACAGTAAGAAAAAAAACATTTATACTATTTACCTTAGGCATTTCAACATTTTTATATTTTTTTTAAAGCCGGGAATGCCTTCTAAGAAACAGTTATTATTAAACATTGACTGGTTATTCTCCTACATAGAAGAAATATTTTTCATGTTATTAACCCCCAGCTGAAGACCAGGTCCCGGGACCATAAAACATATAGGGATAACAAACAGCTCAATTTTGATCTCTGTCTTACTATACCACTCTATATTCCTTTTGTAAAAGTGAGATTGAGATCAAAAGTGAACTCGTCTAATTTTTATGGGCATGGTACCAGTATACATTATTTCACGTTCGGCTTGCTATACTATTTTCTGTTACAAGCTATACAGAAAATAAAATCACGACCAGTGTACATCGTGCAAGCTAGATGGAAGATAAAATCACGCCCAGTGTACACATGTACAGAAATCCAGACACAGCTTGCTGTCCAATCTCGTGTTACAAGCTAAAGAGAATATAAAATCACTTACTCGTGAGGTTTTGACAGCTAGATAGAAAATAGAATCACTTACTCGTGAGGTTTAGACACGGGTTCTTCCTCCAATACGTCGTTGTTGTACTCCGTCATTTCTACTGTCTGGCAGTTGTTCAGATCTATTGAATCATAAATAGCTAGGCTTATAAGTGGCAGTCTAGATAAATTACACTGACAGTCATTTCTACTGTCTGACAGTGGTTCAGATCTATTGAATTATAAACAGCTAGGTTTATAAGTGGCACTCTAGATAATTAATACTAACAGTCATTTCTACTGTCTGACTGTGGTTCAGATCTATTGAATTATAAACAGTTAGGTTTATAAGTGGCAGTCTAGATAAATAACACTAACAGTGATACTTATCTGTTTATTCATTAACATCAATATTTATAAATAACAATCTATAAGTTAAGTCTACTGACATTTCTTAAGATCTCCTGAATATTTTAATTTAAGATTTATAAGTGACAGTCTTAAAATATCACCTGTTTTGTCGGAGAACTCAGGAATAGATTGACAACTTCCGTGTTTATCTGTAATACTGGAGGTCCGAGAAAAATTTCGTTTCTTCAGAAGATTTGGCCTTTGACTAAATCTAGATAGAGAACCTGACGACAAGTTTTGCTTATTGTTTATCATTTTTTTGGTATGAGACATTTTTGTAAAACCGTAATGATGTTTGTGTAGGTGGCGCTTCTCATCTAAATGAACCTTCCAGGTGGCGCTAGAGTGAAAGTTAGGTTCTGCCGCGTGGCACCGCCATAAGCACTGCAAGAAACCAACAGCTTGGTAACAGATTGTGAATGAAGCATTAAAAATGAATTGAGTTCTTTACATTATCAATTTGTAAGTCACTGTGATCCATCATCATCTTAATATTTCTCACAAATACGTCAAATGGTTGTCTGATTAAATATATATTAAATTTTACCAAGGAACATGATTTTGTTTGAGATGTGATAATACATGTAAACTATATGATGAAAATTACAGTGATCTATATAATGTAAACAATATGCAATAAAAATTTATTTTTAACGTAATATAACATGTGCTAATAACTGGTAAGTAAATGATCATGTAGTACATGTATTCTAAAAAGCCATGTCTACCTGTATAAGAGAGGCAGCGGTGGGAATCTGACGATTAAAATGTTTCTGTCGTTGTTTTTGCTGAACTTTAAGGGCGAACCCAGACCCAAGTATACCCTGAAACAAACAAAAAAAACCAAACATTAAACCTAAAAATACAGGTACAAAGAATACCTCAAAGCAAAACATATATAATTAAACAAGAGGCCCATGGGCCTTATAGGTCACCTGAGCATTATGCAACAACTTTCCAGTGATTTAATTTGATTCATGTTTTAAGCCAGATGCTATGGCGTTCACAATTTTGAAAGAGGCACCATTGATCATCATAATAATACACTTAGCAGTTGCTTAGTAACAAAAAATGCATTTCAAGTAATCAGTAATATTCAGCAATAATCAGTAATGCCCCTATCACACATGAACCCCTGATCCTTAGGCCTAGATCCACACATTGCACAATTTTTGAAAAGGCACCCTTGCTTTTCAAAAATATTTGATTAATACCAAGGAGCAGATCTCAAACAATTCATCCAGTTTCAGTATATAAGTACACCCCCCCTATGGTACCCCTGACCCTGGGGCCTTGAAATTCACAATTCTGGAAGATTAGGGTCCTTGCTCATCATAACTACATAGGTAGTTCATCTGCTTAATACCCAAGAGCAGAAAAGAAAACTTTCAAATATTTAATGTATTTTCACTATATAATCAATAGAGCCCCGCCCTAACATCCGAACCCCTGACCCTGGGGCCATAAAATTCACAATTTTGGTAGAGGCACTCTTGCACATCATAACTATCACTTAGATAGTTTATTTAATACGCAGGAGCAGAGAAGAAGATTTTCAAAGAATTCATGTATTTTCACTATATAATCTATAGAGCCCCACCCTAACACCAGAACCCCTGACCCTGGGGCCATAAAATTCACAATTTTGGTAGAGGCACTCTTGCTCATCATAACTATGCACTTAGTTAGTTTATTTAATACCCAGGAGCAGAGATGAAGATTTTCATAAAATTCATGTTTTTTCACTCTATAATCAATAGAGCCCCGCCCTAACACCAGAACCCCTGACCCTACGGCCATAAAATTCACAATTTTGGTAGAGGCACTCTTGCTCATCATAACTATGCACTTAGTTAGTTTATTTAATAGCCAGGAGCAGAGAAGAAGATTTTCAAAGAATTCATGAATTTTCACTATATAATCTATAGAGCCCCGCCCTAACACTAGAACCCCTGACCCTGGGGCCATAAAATTCACAATTTTGGTAGAGGCACTCTTGCTCATCATAACTATGCACTTAGTTAGTTTATTTAATAGCCAGGGAAGAAGATTTTCAAAGAAATAATGCATTTTCACTATATACTTATTTAGCCCCGCCCTAGCAATAGAACCCCTGACCCCAGGGCCATGAATTTCACAATTTTGGTAGAGGACTCAATGCTGATTACAATCATGCAAACAGTTTGACTGCTTGATGTCCAGGAGTAAAGAAGAAGATTTTTAAAGATTGCATTAATTTTAGTGGTTTTTGCCCCACCCCCAGGTCCCAGGGGGGCAGGGACCATGAAATTCACAATTTTTGTTCCCCTTCACCCATAGATGCTTTGTGCCAAATTTGGTTGAAATTGGTTCAGTGGTTGCAGAGAAGAAGCTGAAAATGTTCAAATGTTAACGGACAACGCACAACGCACAACGCACGACGCACGACGACGGACAAAAACAGATAGCAATAGGACACCTGAGTTTACTCAGGTGACCTAAAAATACAGATGCCAACTTTACCCTTAGACAAAAACACACCTAGATAAATGATCATGACTAAAGTGTGTCCTGAAATAAAACCACACATATAAAAATGTTCGAAAACAAGCAATTGAATATTTAAGTTTAAAAAAAATCAAGCTGCGCTTATGTAGAAGATTTTAAATTATGTTTTCTCTTAAGAATTTAGAAAAGGTCTGTTTATATTTTCAAGCATTTCTTGCTGCTCCTGATCTCCAAAGAATGTATACTTATTGTCATTGAAGAATTCAAAGAATACTTTAAATAATATCTGAGAAAGGCTTTCAATAATACTGCAGCTGATTAATGACACAATAGGAAAACTTAAAAGCTCTTTATTTTATATGCAAGAGCATGCTCTATATGAACGATTTCTAAAACGAGGTAAATTATTGACAAGCAAGTTGATGAAATACAAATATCAACAGTCTCATTTAAAGTCATCATTTCGTAATTTCTATGGTCTATACAATGACCTTATCAAAAAATACAATTTATCATTGAGTCAAATGCTGACCCACGTTTTTCATACCAATTGTTAGTCCATTATTTATACACTGAATTGACGATGGATTTTTCGGTTATTTCCCTATCATGACAATGATCACACGGCGAGTGTGACCGGTCAGCAGGGATGCTCACACCTTCATGGCTCCTGTTCCCACCTCTGATGTATCGGAGGTCCGTGTTTGCTCGCCTCTTTTGTATTGTTTTATGGGCTTGGTGTTGAATACTGTTCGTTATCTCCATATCCTTCTTATTTTTAGAAAAGCAAGTGTCCAAATGTTTTTGTAAATTAAGGATGATTCATGCAGTGTTAAATTTCGTACTTTATGAAGCTATCAATTTTGGTAAAAAAACAAAGTTTGTTAAATATCTCAGAGTTTACGAAAACCCACCTTCGATTAGATACATCAAGTGAAAGCTAAAAAACTTTTGGTTGAACAATTGCTAGATCCTGCTTTGTAAACAGTATATTGTTTGTAAAGTTCTAATAAAGTATCGGGATCTCATTTAAGTATGGTAATTGAGAATTTGGTAAGTTTTGGGGGATATAAAAATACCTTACAAATGAATTTGAAAAATACCCGTGAAAAAAAAAATTACAAGATGTAAGTTGTCTAAAGTTAATACGTCAACTGCAAAGACGTCGACAATGACAGAAAAGGAAAAATAAACAACTTTTCCTCAGAAGAGCTTATATGAGCTCCTGACTTTTCTGAACTAGAGAGAAGCTTGATATTATAATTCTCTTCTCAGATAAAACAAATAATAATCAAAATACTCACAGCAGGAAGAGCAAAAAAGGAAATGGCAAAAACAGAAAAACAGGAGGCTACAATCCTCCCCATCCACGTCTGAGGGACTGTGTCACCATAGCCAATCGTTGTAACGGTAATCTGTAGACAGAAATGTGAAGAAACATTAATTCAAAAAGACAAATAAGATTACTCACTGTATACAAAGTGCTAATCGAAAATCTACTTGATTTGGATCACTTGCTATATTGCTTTGGGTACTCTGATGCATTATGGGTAAAAAAGAAAGTTCTGCAGGAAAAATATGGGTAAAAGTACCTTTAAGAAATTAAAAATTTATTAAACCTTTATAGAATCAATGTAAATTTATTTGAGAAAATTTTTAAGTTGAAACAAGTTAGAAATTCGATACCATGCTCATTTACTAAGTTAAAATGGGATTTTCGCTCATTTTGCATTATTTCAATTGTTCTTAATTTTTTCAAACTATATTCTGTTGTAAAAGTTATTGTAACTTAGTTTTCGCCTCAATTCACCCACGAAACATCATCTGATTTCCATAAATTACGCTTTTTAGAGAAATTGGGCTATTCTTGTTTTGAGTGAATGCTATACTATGTTTGCAACATATTTTTGCGATGGCTATACTTTTTTCGGATCCTTTTTGTGATTTTCATGAAATTAAGATTTATTGTTTTTTGTTAAAATTATCGCGATTTAAACAGTTTTGAAAAAGGTATTGGCATTTATTATCACAAGAGAAACATTTATCAGTGGAAAGAAGTGAAACAGAAATAAATAAATATAGAATTTGATGAAATGTGCTATCATTGCTGGTGTTTGTGCGATACTTGATTTGCGTTTTGTCACGATTGATACAGAAATGCTATGTTTGATTTGAGTAGAATACTTCTTGAAGAATGAAGCCGTATATTGGGGAGTATAATCCAAAGACACTGTCTCAAGTTTATGTCATTAAATAACTTATTGATAAATACACGTAATATATTTTTACTTATGTTTTAAAGGTATGTAAAACGGAAAAAAGGGCTTCACAAACTAATCGAATTTTTTCCAAAGCTCATGATAGGCGTAAGACTGAATGCGTTAACCACAATATGCTACGGTGTCTTCTTGTTGTTTGTGTGTCAGTTTGCTTAAAAAGAAACTAATTTGTTGAGACAAATAAGGTTGAAATAAAAAGAAACTAATTTGTTGAGACAAATAAGGTTTTTCAACCTATCATTTAATTTATCTTGGTTCGTTTTTTTTTTTGGCTTACTTCTCTCATCCAACTGTTAGACCTTTGTTTTTATACTAAATTTGATTACGCAATGTTCCATTCACTTGATCAATACATATAAGGGCTCACAGCGTGTGTGACCGATCAACAAGGGATGCTTACTCCTCTAGGCACCCGTTCCAATCTCTGGATCTCTGGTATTCCGGGGGTGGGGGTGTCCGTATTTATGCCCTGCCCACATGTTTGTATTGTTTGTATATTTTTCGACATAAATCAATGCTCGTTATCCCACTTTTTTTTCATTTCAGAAATATTCAACTTTTAGATAGAATGGGTTCAGACGCCATTAAAAAACACAATGCATTTACTAGAATACCTGGTCCGTTCATATTCAAAAATAAATCTTTATAGCTAGAATCATTTAATATAAACGTACCCATTTTCGACTTAATAAGTCTAAAAACAATTTTCAATCAATATGCCTTTCAGAACAATATATGAATCTAATATGTTGAAGATGACATTTCCGACAACATAATTTTAGAAAAATAAAACTTTTCCGTCATAGAGCGGGTGATTGTCCTCGCCTTGTACACATTTTTTCTCTCTTTTATAAATCTATGATAAAGAGATTATAATGCAACTTATGTAATATTTCACCTATTTTCACACTATCATCAGACATCAGAACTTAAAACTAAGAATCTGAAACAGAATCTATGAAGATAAAAGTTTAATTAAAAGAAGATGGGCGTATAAGGTGGGCAGAATGCCTATAGCGTCAGATATTAAGAAATCACATTTGATATGGAAATTGGGTATTTGTTTTGTTTTGTTATTGAAATTTATGACATTATTAGAAAAAAAAACATTTTCTTAGAAAAAATAAACATCTTAAAAAATTTCATTTCTAAAAATATTAGATGGGTATACTTGGATTCGAACCCCAGCAGTACAATACCGAAGGAACCTAATTCTTCGAGACTAACGCGCTAACCACTATGCTACATGGCTCATGATGATTGGAGACATTTAAATCACATTTCTGATATGACCCTTGACTCAATGGACTTGAAGTATTTCTCGGAAAGATGCGAATGGTTTTTCATAAAAGTGTTCTTTTAAGGTATAGTGGGTCTTCGCTCCATTTTTTTGTAAACCAAAAAATATTTATTTATCGCAAACTTTTAGGATTATCTTTCAAAAAAAATGGAGCGAGGACCCACTCGTATTGAAAAATTTTGTGAAAGTATGAAAAAAATGATCGTTTTTGTTCTTATAAGTCTGTGTATGCTTTTTCACAGGCAAATATTTTCAGTTTTTGTGAAATTTTTGTAAATTATAAAGATTTTACAGTAAGTATACTTTAATATTAGATGAAATATGAAATAAAATTTGGATATAATTGAGATTAAATTTTTCACTTCTTATCTGTCGCACTATAGGCATTCTGCCCGCCTTATACGTCCATCTTCTTTGGCATTATATCCCCATAGACAGATCTAGAAAAGCGGATAAAGGTTAGGTGATCAAGACCTGATAATTTTTTCAAATTCACTAAAATTTAAGAATATTAAAGTAACCATATCAAAATACCCCCCTCCCTCCTTCCCAAGAAACGCAAACTCTTAACAGTCAGTCTACGATAAAAGAATATAGTTACGGAAGTTCACTGATTTTCAGGAATATGTTATGATTTCTATGAAAAAAGATCCATGCATTTCTTTGAGAAATGTGGTAACCATTTGATTTCTTTTTATTACATGAAATTATTTTAAATATTTCATGCAATCTCTTCTTAACGCTTATTTGGCTGAATTGAAATTAGTAATTGAACGAAGCGGCATTAAGATTTGAAGTTGAATGCGTTTTAATTATTCATTAAATTATCAAATCAAAACTTTGAATGCATATATATTCCACTAAATATTTACAAAACCATGTGTATATGTAAAGTCTAATAGTTGAAATCGATCTTTAAAATTTTACAAAATTACATGTAAATTGGTGAGCAAAATGAAAATTCTTAATTTGGTATGTTTTTGTTGATGAATGACTGTCATAACATGATAGGAAAAATTAGAATATATATGGTAGAATGTAGCTTGTCCACCAATTAAGCCGACCCCATCCCTAACCATAAAATAGGATTTTTGTGTTGGGATCTTTTAGTGTTATGGACAACAATGTAAACCCCTCCCGTTTCCCGAAGAAATTTATGCTTGAGCAATCCTTTATTCCGGAATGAAAAAATGGAACTAAACATATAAATTAACGAAATAAAAACGTCATTACAGTTGCTTCCATTAGAAATTAAAAAAGATACTGTCACGAAAGGTTCAAAATGTTATAGATATAGGGGTATAATTTATTTTATTAAAAGAACAATAAGTAACGTCAGGTGCCTGTGTGTTTGTACTCTCCTAAGTAACTTGCCAAGAGGCCACACTACTTTTTCTATAATTTATGTAAATACATATCTATCACACTCACCGATTGAGCATAAAATGCTCAAGGTGAGCATATGACACATGGACCTCCTACGGACTGGGCCATTGTTGAAATGTAAGAGGAGTCTTGGGATGAAAATATTGTACAGTACTGTTGTAAACACAACGTAACGTCAATAAATTATTTTACTAATTGCACCAGGCCTAAATGCTATATGTATACTCGAAAAAAGTATAGCTGTCATGACAACAAAGATAGCTTTCTGGATATTTTCTACGCAAACATAATATAGCTCTGGAAAAGTTGGGTAGGTGCATATTTGATGTAATTGCCAGGTTATTAAGAAGACTTTGTGGTCGAATTTGATAGCTTACGTTTGATAAAGATTCATATTAAACATTACAATAAATGTTTTATTGAAATAATGTCAACAGTCCATTGCAGAGTATGATTAGTCGAAAAATGACCATTAGATGCGTGAAAAACGCGTGCTACCGATGTTTATAGAGGGGTAGATGAAACAAAAATATGATTATCTTTAAATATACCAAGAAGAAGTCTCATATTGTTTGAAGTAGTTTTATTATCAGTAAGAAAACGAATATAAAAGCAAATTTTTTGTCTAAATGTGCAGACAAAAACTTCGAATGACCCAAACAAATATAGCTAGTGATCCAAATCAAGTAGATTTTCGATTAGCACTTTGTATACAGTGTTACTCCTTTGACGGCCACGTCCATACTGTGTGGAAAACTTTATTGTATTCTCTACTTAATTTGCTTAACAGTTTCTGTTTACCTTTAATCAATACCTTATAAAAAAAAGAAATGTTAACACTACTTACCACGCCCCACCAGAGGGCGTCAGCGTAACTGGTGAAGTCTGTAGACCCGTTCTCTTTTTCTGCTAGGTAGACAAAATACGAAGAGAAAATGAGTCCCAGGAATCCTATATAAAGCGTGGTGATCAATTCCTGTTAATAAAAGAAGTCAAATCAGAAGTGGTCATTAGTAGTTCCTAGAGAAGTGGTGATCAGATCAGTTCTTAATAGACATTTCCAGATTTCGCGATCTCGAGATCGTACTCGCACACTGACTCTGACAGTTGTTTAAAAAAGTTTAGGGACCGTGTCAAATTTTGACATATTTAAAAACGAACAAAAACACTGTTTCCTAGATTCCTAGAAGATCTGTACATCAGCAGCGACAATGCAGAACATTAAACAGAAAAATAAATAAACACAGAATAAATGTAGAACATGTAATTTGAGAGATGAAATTGTTCCGTGCCATAGGCACACTGTAGAGGCATCCAAGGAACAAAATAAGACAAATAGTCAATATTTGCGCTGCTTTGTCATGCAGAAGAAAACAAATGATAAATCTATACTAGTATTAAATTTGTCTTTGCCTTTTTTTTTAATTTGTCGCGGAAAATAACATAAAATCCGCCTACCTTAAAACCCCCTTTTTAAATTTTTGATTCAGCCCCTTATTTATTGAAGTACAGAGTACGAGTCCGAGCTCGTGACGCTCATAACTGGAAATGTCTATTAATTAAAGAACCGACAACGCAGAATGGGTTTTTATATGAATATAAATATAAAATTAAAAGAAAAGATTTAGACCCAAAAATAAGCTTAAGATTTACAGGAGTAATTTTTTATAGTACGAGATATCAAGAGGAAGACTTTACAATCAAATGATACAAATTCCTTCTATAACTTTATCCTTCAAAGTAACCCAATTCTTCTCTCATTTATAAGTATCTATGAAATGATTCAAAATAGGGGTAACATTTCCTGCCTTTTTGTGAAATAGGAAAATTGATCCCAATTTCTTTCCTTACTTTTTCATATATCTAGATTAGAGTGGCGTCCCTTACCTGTCTGTGTATATAAACAACTGATCCTAATAAACGCCAAGTTCCACCCTGTCTGTCAACGTGTAACATCCGCAGAATTTGAAGAAATCGTACACCTCTACAAAGTAAAATCAAATTACAGTGTTAATGAATAAAAAATAAAATCAACTTTCCTTACTTATGCAGTAATATACCTTCATCACCTGCATAAGGTGTTTTATATATCTCTCAGTTGATTCGAAACGCAAAAACATGCTCTATGTATGAACAATTTCTAAAACGAGGTAAGTTATTGACAGACAAGTTGATGACACAAGAATATCAGCAGTCTCGTTTAAAGTCATCACTTTGATTGATACAATGACCCTGTCAGCAAATACAATTTTTCATTGAGTCAAATGCTGACTGACGTTTTTCATACTAATAGTTAGTCCATTATTCATACACTGAATTGACGACAGATTTTCCGGGTTTTTTCCCGTATCATGACGAGCATGTGACCAGTCACCAGGGGATGCTCACTCTTCCATGGCATCTGATCCCACATCTGATGTTTCGAAGGTCCGTGTTTGCTCTGCTCCTATTTTGTATTGTTTTATGGACTTTGATATTGAATACTGTTCATTATATCCATATCCTCCATCAAGTAAATATCTGTGTTTCTTAGATTTAACTTTTCTAGCTCCCAAGGTACTTCATTCAGCAGAGCACTCAGTCATTGATTAGAAGATCATGTGTTCGATTCAAGGTCGCAAGTGACCTTAGTTAATAAAAATAAGTTGTAACTCTTCCTTCGCCGAACGCTCGGCACATTGAAGCAAAAGTTGGGGTTCCATTGGATGAGACCTTAAAAATTGAAACCCTGTGTCACAGTTAGGCGTTGGCACTACAAAGAACCCTCATTGCTAAATGACCAATACAGAGTACAGGTCTTAATGAGAATTTCATCATCAGGAAGTTGTAACGTCTCTATTTCATTGAGAAATTCTAAACTGGGACGAAGAGTAAAGGTCTAAATTAAACTTCCAACACCAGTTGGTGGTGACGTCTCTCTTAGATTGAAAAATTCTAAAAAAGGGCGCACAACATCATACAATCAATCAATTACCTGATAGCTGAGGTGGCGAACACCTGGCCATTAGACCCGACAGACAAAACCACAATTGAAGCTGTAACCACCAGAAAGTCTGTTACAAATAAAAAGAAACCATTGAATTAAGATAACATAGACATATTTGAAATGGATGTCGTCACCATCAGAAAATCTGTAACAAATAAAGAAGAAAAGAAAGTTTTGTTTTTAGAATGGTCATTATATAACGTATATAGCTACCTCAAACCCTAAAGCTATTTAGTTTTTCAATCTAGTTATTTGACTGTCACTAAGTAGCTATGCACTAGACAAATCTTTTTACTAAATAAATTTTGTAGACATTATCGTCTTATTCACCTTAATTCTCAGTTCTATTACATATCTTTTGTTCTAGTCGTTAAAAGATTCCCTATCCATGCTATTTTTATTTAAACATAGATTTAGATTTTTTTCTCTATGAAGACATTTTGTTAACCAGATTAAATCACTATTGCCTAAGTAGTTATATTTTATACCCCCGCTTGAAAATTGGAGAGTATATCGTGATCAGGATATCCATCTGTCTGAATGTCCGTATGACCATCTGTTACGCTCTATAGAAGCAATCTCTTATCCACAATTCCTTTTCTAACAATGAAATGAAATCTAACGAGACTTTCACAGTATCAGAGTATCATTTTGTACCTTCTATTTAACGTTTTGGTCGGATTCATATTTTTTGGTTTCCCAGAGCAAAACATCGACACTGCTATTCTTTCTATAATATTAAAGGGTATCCATCTCTTCTTTGCAACTCCTCTGATACCACTAACTAAAATTTAATGTTACTTTTACAGGTTTTTTATAACATAAATCCAATGTGCACCTCTTAGCTTACTTTTTGATCTGACATATTTTGGGTGACCTAGAGCAAAACATGGACTTTGCCATCATAATCATATAGGAGACGGTGTATCATTTAGTGAACTCCTTGCCAAGAATTCCTCTAGTTATGATCTATAATTGTCTAATTTAGATTCACATAGCCATTAAAAATTATTTTTCTGTTAAAGTGTTTGCTATATAAAGTTAAAAAGGTAAAAAACTTTTATAGTCTGAAAATTTCCAATCACAGCCAGTGGATAAACGTTTTTTCTATTTGTGATGAAGTAAAATTAAGTCAAGCCTATATAAAAATAGTGTAAAATATTGGTTGTTAAGAATTAAACGTGGGATAAAAAAATCTTCCATTATTTGTAGTTGGATATGACTTTTATGACTTTTTGTTTCAGGTTCATTGATAAAAAAAATCCCAAAACGTTGGATCAAAATTATATCCAACTAAAAATCGTGGGAGATCCTGTATTGATTCATTTAGATAACGTGTAAATTATTGATAATGAATTTCAATTGAATGTTGTTATTATTTTTATCTAAGATCGATCCTGGATTATTTTTCATCTTAGATGCATATTGAGAGAGATAATCTTTTGTCACTATTATATATGAATATGAAAATAATTATAAAATTAAAAATTTACGTAGATTATTGTTATTTTTCATGCACTTGGATAAAATTTGTTATAGATTTAATTTGTTACCTAAGATAGACTATAGTTTATAAATTTACATAAGAAGGCATATTTTTGTTACCTATGATAGATATCGGTTTATTTTCTGTTGTAGATAATATTAGTTACATAGTCTTTTAGTGACAGGGTACGGGATGATACCTGTTTAGTAAATTTATACCTTGCGAGGCGAAGCCTTCCGTATCCTGTCACTAAAAGACTATGTAACGAATTTACCGCACCGATGAAACATTTACGTATTATCTGTGGTTTATTTATGTCTTTCTCTGCTACATGCTTCATCACGCTTATACTGTACCTATTATGACGTCGTATTTGCTACGTAAAACATCGGGTATAGATTTACAACTGACCGAGTATAGGTTTACAACTGACCAGGTATAAGTAATCTACCTCCTTCACGTGACATACTTCGACCAATCGTAAGCCACAATTTCACGGTAAAATCAACAGAGGTGGGGTTATTTATATTACTGTGATAGGTATTGGTTTAACTACGTTTATAAATGTAAAATACTTTACGTATCATGTGATAGAAATTGTTCATTTGGTTTATTAGACATAATATATTACTTATGATATGTATTGATTTTCTAACATACGTCAATAGTATTTATTACTTACGATAAATATTGGTTTAATTACATTATTCGGTAAAATTTATGATATGATAGAGTTGGTTCATATCCTTGTATAAATAGAAATAAGATATAACATAAGGTATTATTGCAGGTCAGTATTAGGAATTACTGACCTGTTCTTTTTTTTCTGTTACAATGTGTTGTTGTTAAGATTTCTTGTTAAAACTTTCAATTAAAGCAAAGAAATAGTCTTGTAGGAGTTTGCTCTAATTTAATAATAATATAATAAAACAGTTATTGCTGTCTTTGCGGTCAATACGATGATTTAGCCACCTTCGAAGTGCAATATTAACTTCGCCCATATTGTACCCCTCAGTTGACTAAAACCATCGTATTGACCTAAAAAAACAGCAATAATTGTATTTTACCAATGATAGATATCGGTTTATATACCTATATGAAGATATAAGATATTACCAAAGATAGATATCGGTTTATATACCTGTATGAAGATATGAGATAAAACCAATGATAGATATTGGTTTATAAACCTATGTCGATATTATATTTTTCCAATGATAGATATTGGTTTAATTATGTATACACTTTTTATTGTAATATACAGACCTAACATAAACTAGATGTGTTTTAACTTATCTAGATATAGTATAACACTTATGATAGCTGATAATGGTATGTTACTTTTTATAGAAATTAGTATATTACCTATGATAGATATCGGTATATAATCTATGATAGATATCGGTATATTATCTATTATAGATAACGGTATATTACATATGATAGATATTGGTATGTTTTCCATGATAGATATTGGTATATTTTCCATGATAGATATCGGTATATTACCTATGATAGATATCGGTATATTACCTATGATAGATATCGGTTTACGGGCGAATCTGAAGCGTCCTGTGATTCCCATATATTTACTTCTACAGCCCGCGGACCACAGCCGAATCACGTACTCCAGACCAAAAAACACCACCAGGACGATTTCCTGTAATAAAAACAAAAACATTCAAAAATCGAAATTATCACTATAATTTGTAATTGAGAACACAGTTCACAGTTAAGGATATAAATATTAAAATAATGGGATAACAAAACACCAAATATGAGATTCCATATTTAAATTTATGTTAAACAATGCTGATGTAAAACAATCTGTGTAGAAATATTACACAAAGTATAACAATGTCTATTAGACATTATTTCGTTAATTTGTTGCTGTGTAATAATTTCAATTTCCAAGAAGAACACAGTTCACAAACTCTCTGCAAATGTAAGAGAATATTTATTTGAAACTTTTAAAAAGAATAATGATACTAAAAATCCTTCACATATAGAACAATGTTTGCAGAAAACATTGACCGTGTTAAACATTGCTTACAGAAAACACTGACAACGTTGAATACTGATTTCAGAAACAATGGAAATCTTTACTCTGAGAAATACTTAAGGACAGATGATACAAACAATTTTTTTTTCTTTGGAAGAGACTTAATATCATGATGAAAGTTTAGAAAAGTGGATAATTCTTCGAATGTTTTCTCCTAAAAACTCCTAAAATGAAATAGAAATGGAAAATATCAGTAATATTTCAATAAAATTACAAATATGGACAAAACACACTCAGTCAAGGTTTACAGATGAAAACAAATTTAAGAATATGTTACATCGGTGCTACAAGTGTAATACGAACTTAAAAAAAGTATACCAAGCCAGGTGAATTTAATCAAGAAAAGCGAAATGGTAAAAATCAGCCTATATGATATTGCTAATTTTTGTCATTTTGCTTTTCCTCATAAAATTTACCTGGCTTGGTATATTTTTTAAAAGTTTACATTACACTTTTAGCACCAAGATAACATATTCGGAAATTTGTTTTAACCTGTAAACCTTTACTGAGTGTGATTTGTCTATATTTGCTTTTCTATTGAAATATTACTAATATTTTCCAAGTCTATTTC